TATTGCTAAAAAATGCTAGTCATCATTTGTGCCTTCAGTGAGCTGTAGAAGTAGCATCAAAGATCACTGATCACAGATCACCATTCAAAAATAATAATAATGAACAAGTTAGAAGTATTGCAAGAATTACCAAAATGTGACATGAGACATGAAGTGAACAGATGCTGTTGGGAAAATGGTGCCAATAGACTTGCTTGACTTAGAGTTGCCACAAACCTTCAATTTGTTTTAAAAAAATGCAATATCTGGGAAGTATAATTAAAGGAAGTATGCCTGTATCTGCAGACCCCCAGGGGTATTTGCACTCTGATTCAAGAAAATGGACTTAAGAGGACTTTAAAGGAAAATCTAACTTAAACCAAAACAGACACACACACACAAAATGTACCTATAACTTCCATCATTATAATTTTTGTGCCTGAACATTATGTTGAGAAGCTTATTAAATTTCTTTGGTTTAATGTCTGAGAATAATTAAACTCTTTATTACCCAGCAAAGATAAAGAACCAAAGTTAAAAGAGCAATAAACTAGCACGGAGGAGACCTTGGCCTGGCGCTCTGATCCAGGAGAAGGTAATTCCTTTCTCTGGGCCTCTGTTTTCTCATCAGTAAAAAGAGGGGGAAGGGGGCTTCCCTGGTGGCGCAGTGGTTGAGAGTCCGCCTGCCGATGCAGGGGACACGGGTTCGTGCCCCGGTCTGGGAAGATCCCACATGCCGCGGAGCGGCTCCGCAACGGGAGAAGCCACAACAGTGGGAGGTCCGCGTACCACAAAAAAAAAAAAAAAAAGAGGGAAAGGATATTTGGTATTCAGCCGTGCTTCCAACTCTAAGCCCCATGCGCACTGTATTCTGGTAGAAACTTGGCAGTAGATGGACATCCTTGACGTGTGTGTAGGTAGAGGGGATGCTGTAGACCAACAGCCAGCCTGAGGTGCTGTGTGAGGACCTGATGAGATGGCACAGATGGCTGTCCGATGGGACCTGGCTTTCTGGGGAAGGGTGAGGAGTGTAATGTCACGGTTTGGTCTGCAGCTCTAAAGAACTCATAACTAAACCCAGCCAAAGTTCACTCGCCACCTCAGTTTCACTTTCCAGAGGATTACAGCCAGGAGGTTAACATGCAATTCTGACTGGAATCTCATCTTCAGGGATTGGGCTCTTCCTTCAGTTTGGGTGAGATGGCTTAAATCCTCCTCCACCCAATGCCCTGGGGGACGGGGGCTGCCTCCACCCCATCTGCCTGTCCCTCAATTCTTGCTCCAGTCAGCACTTCAAGCTCTGACCTGTCTTTGGACATCTGCTCTCTTGATGCAGGGTACAGCTGAGATGCAGTGAGGAGAAGCCCCAGCAGCCCCAGGTTTCTCCCCCAAGCAAAGAGGGGGACACGTGAGTGGTTTGGAGACTCTCTGGTAGAGGACAGCTTGGGGAGGAAAGGGAAGTTGGCTAAGATGATGAAGCAGGGCATAGAGACACCTGTCAGGGGCCCTCTGCCCCTTGTCGTCATATCACCTACTTGTATTTTTTAAAATAATTAATTAATATTGGTTGCGTTGGGTCTTCGTTGCTGTGCACGGGCTTCCCTCTAGTAGCGGCAAGCGGGGGCTACTCTTCGTTGTGGTGCACGGGCTTCTCACTGCGGTGGCTTCTCTTGTTGTGGAGCATGGGCTCTAGGCGCGCGGGCTTCAGTAGTTGCAGCACATGGGCTTAGTAGTTGTGGTACGTGGGCTCTAGAGCACAGGCTTCAGTAGTTGTGGCACGTGGGCTCAGTAGTTGTGGCGCATGGGCTTAGTTGCTCTGCGGCATGTGGGATCTTCCCGGACCAGGGCTCTAACCCGTGTTCCCTGCATTGGCAGGTGGATTCTTAACCACTCCACCACCAGGGAAGTCCCCCTACTTCTATTTTATACTCAACTCCATTTTACATTTTTCAAAGTGCTGCCATAGTGTATTCGAGCCTCACAATGTTGCTGTGAAGCAGGCTGGGTGAGGAAAGGGCTCTAGATTAAACCTCAGAAAACCAGGATCACATGACTCCGTTGTCATGTCGGATGTTGTGCTTGTGCCTCTGAGCCTTGCTTCCTTGTCTGTCACATGGCGATGATACAGCTGGAAAAATGTTAGGAATGATTGTCTCCTTCAGAGAGGAGAGAAAGGAGAGGTTCAAGGAAATGGAGTGAGATTCTCAAGGTCACGGAAGTAAATACCAAGTCACCTTGGCTCCAAGAAATCTCATGTTACTTTGCTTTCTCTCTATATAATGGGGATCTGTTGTTCAAGTGTATGTAGGTAAATAAGTTTCAAACTTCATGAACTGATTTAATTCATTATCACCAGTTAATTACTATGGTTACTTGGCATTTTGAGAATTTAACTTTTGAGGTTTTTTACTGAAAAAAAATCCTCTAACAACCCATGACATGTAGAAACTTGTAATTTTCTTTGGCATGAATTTTATTTATTTTTATTTTTATTTTTTTTGCGGTACGTGGGCCTCTCACTGTTGTGGCCTCTCCCGTTGCGGAGCACAGGCTCCGGACGCACAGGCTCAGCAGCCATGGCTCATGGGCCCAGCCGCTCCGCGGCATGTGGGATTTTCCCGGACCGGGGCACAAACCCGTGTCCCCTGCATCGGCAGGAAGACTCTCAACCACTGCGCCACCAGGGAAGCCCTGGCATGAATTTTAATAGAACATGCATAGACCTTGAAATCTGGAATGTTATTTACCCATTGCCTAAATACCACCACTTATCACCTCATTTTAACAGTTGCACTTTATCCAGAAAACTAAATGAAACATGGATTTTTGAGAATTTGATGGAACACATGCATATCAGGTCATATCACTTGACAATATCAAAGTTTACCATATTTAATATCAATGGCGGTTTCAGAAGATTCTTGGCTTACATTCAAGTCGTAACGTGGAGATGTCAAAAGCTTATGATTAAAATGTTTTGATTTAACACTTACAATGTGAGTCCAGTTATTTATTTACAGAAAAAAGTGCCGAAGATTTTCAGCACGCTGACAGCTGATGGCCTATGGCAATGCTTTTCCTTGGCATTATTGACATTTTGGGCTGTGTAATTCTTTGCTGTAGGGGCTTTCCTGTGCATTGTAGGATGTTTAGCAACATCCCTGGCTAATACCCATTGGGCGTCCCCTCCCCTGAGGTGTGACAACCAAACATGTCTGCAGACATTGGCCAAATGTCCTTCAAGGGCAAAACCATCTCCATCCCCGTTGAGAACCCTGGTCTAAGGCATTTATTCACCCTGTTTATACTCTCTCACAAATCTCTTTCTGAGCATCACTGAAGGTTAAGATGCATTTTCACAATTCCTTCAAAAGCTTCAATGATTTGGACAGCTTTTTTTCTAGAGGGCATTTGTAGGTTTCCCCTTGGCTTTCACATAAACAGCCTAAAGGAACACAAACCTATAAACTGGTTTGTAGCAAGTGTGAGTCCTTCTTTCTCACAGGAAAGGGCAGTGAAGCTTAGCACGGTCTTTGTGGGTTTTCTTTGCTTTTACTTGGTGGAATAACATGTTTCTGCTTTTCACAGGAGGAGTCAAGGAGTCAAGAAGGCAATTTCCTTTCATCTGAGGGGACATGACTCATCTATTTCAAGTGGCAAACTAGTGCTGTTCCGTGCTGTCTTCTAATGCTCAGTCTAATTTTCCATAAATATTTGAGCACTCTTTCAGGTATTGTGGCTTTGTGACTGGGTTTGTATCACTTTTCCTAGAGATATTTTAGATGAAAGTATGCATCACTTTAGAAAGTAAATAGTCATAAAGGAGTAAAAATAATCTCCTGAACCACATGGTTCATCATCCCCATTTCAGATGACTGTTGTTCCCCCCACCGCCCCGCTCTATAAAATCGTATTGACATTAGTTTACGGGGTGATAGAAGCAGTAACTTATCATTGCTCCTGTGCAGGTTCTTCTATTTGGTGCGAAGCAAGTTTTTCTTTCCATAAAACACTTGACACAGCAGATAGAATAAGTCTTAGACGTCTTTCACTCTGAATTTTTCATTTTCCAAAACTAAAGTTAGCATTCTATTTTTTTTTCCTGGTAGTTTTAAAACTTTTTAAAATCTGTGTAGAAGCATTTTTTTTTTTTTTGTGGTACACGGGCCTCTCACTGTTGTGGCCTCTCCTGTTGCATAGCACAGGCTCCAGACGCACAGGCTCAGCGGCCATGGCTCACGGGCCCAGCCGCTCCGCGGCATGTGGGATCTTCCTGGATTGGGGCACAAACTCGTGTCCTGTGCATCGGCAGGCAGACTCTCAACCACTGCGCCACCAGGGAAGCCCTGTGTAGAAGTATTTTTATAATGCTGGTACAATGGGCATGTTGGGTTTGCCCATCTCTGCCAGTTGGGCTATTTTTAAAAATTCATTTCTATATGTCTTCTAGATGATACTGAAAGGTCATTCAAGTCATTTCTTTGCCAGTCTTCTTCTGTATCACCATTTCCACTATTCTTCCCTTTCCTTTCCAAGGCATCCCCTGTCCCTGGGTCCTCCCGAGGCCCTAGTAATGGCTTCCTGGCTATAGCATGAGGATGCAGAGCCTTTCTGCTCTTTCCTTTACATCTTGGAGACCGTAGAGATGAAGGACTTTGCAGGAGGGACTTGAAGGAGGTCTCTGAAATTCTGCATGCTCAGAATAAATGGATCTAAGGAGATTTTTAAAAATTATCTAAATATTATTGTCCCTTTGGCCCAGAAGTCATTTTCATTTAAATCAGAAATCTTCCCTCGGGGACCCCAAATAGGTTAAAGTACAACACAGTAAGTAAGAGTTTGAAAATGATCGATAAATGCAGAGAAAGGGAACAAAGCCCATTTCATCATTTGATTGTGGAAGGTGTTGATGTTGATTTTTCTTTATGTCTACGTAACCACTGGAAACCACAGAAGTGCTTGCTGTATTACAGCCTCATTTAGGTACAGTCATATTTTCTCTTGTGTTTGTTCCAGGGAAGATGGTGGATTTTCCAGGGTACAGTCTGTCTGGTGTAGTTGCCTCCTTTTTCTTTGTACTGCTCAGCATGAAGCAGTCAGGTAGGATGCTCTTCTTCCCTTTACTGCATATTCGAGTGTCTCAGAGGTCCAGTCTGGGTGCAGAGTTCTAAATTCAAAAGGGCTAGTACAATATTAAGAGTGGGGATCCAGGGGTCAAAGCACCTGTGTTATAAAAAGGGCTCCTCCACCTCCAACTGTGTTACCTTTGGAAAGTTACTTGAATACCTTCTGCCTTAGTTTTCTCATCTTTATGATAAGAATAACAACCTACCTACATCTCATAGCTCGGCACAGCCTTTAAGATTAAATCAGGCTGTACATAGAAAACACTTGAATCAGTACCGGGAACATGGTAAGTCATGCATTCTCCTGCTTCTATTTAGGACAACGCTTCCGGGGTGAGAAAAAAGTGGCTGCTTCCTACCATAAATTAAACAGCATAAAAGTACTTGGAAAGAAGGAACTAGAAGGAGACTTCTAAGAAATGGGGTTGGAAATCTCAGTAGCTGAATTTTGTTGGTCAAAATACTGTACCTTGAAAAGGGATTGTGAAAATTCAATGTCAGTGGGTAATATCAGAGCCCCAAGGAAAATGCAGGATTGCAAGGTGGGAAAAAACGTTGGATAGGACATCAGAAGGCACAGGCTCCAGACTGAGGCTGTCAGAAACTATATGATGTGGTGAGGCTTCCCTCCCTGCTATGGGATGCAACTTCCTAACCTGTAAAAGAAGTCACCCAAATGGTATGACTTCAGTTCTAGCTTTATACTCGGATTCCATCAACACAATGCAAGCAGATGTCTATCTACGTTCCATAGTGACCTTTTGAGCACCATCTACTTGATGTTGAGCATCAGCTAAACGAGATGAAGTTCCTTCTTAGGAGGGTTGGATCTGCACGAAGTGCAAATGGCCCTGGAGCATTTTAGGATGAGAAAAAACATAATATACATGACATATGAAATTATTAAGCATAGGAACATACAGAATTATTAAACAGCTCTTCAATTTGCAGATAAAGAAGACGTCAAACATGACTTAAAATTTTATTGGAAGGCTTGAACTCTTTATACTAATCACTGCCTTTTATTTTTCTTTCTTTTTTTTTTTTTACATAGAGCATAGCTGCTGTACAATGTTGTGTTAGTTTGTGCTGTATAACGAAGTGAATCAGCTATATATATATATATATATATATCCCCTCCCTCTTGGACCTCCCTCCCCCCTCCCCTCCATCCCACCCATCTAGGTCATCACAGAGCATGGAGCTGAGCTCCCTGTGCTATACAGCAGGCTCCCACTAGCTATCTACTTTATACATGGTAGTGTATATATTTCAATCCTAATCTCCAGTTTGTCCCACCCTATCCTTCCCCCCTGTGTCCACATGTCCATTCTCTACATCTGCGTCTCTATTCCTTCCCTGCAAATAGGTTCATCTGTACCATTTTTCTAGATTCCACATATATGTATTAATATACGATATTTGTTTTTCTCTTTCTGACTTACTTCACTAATCACTACCCTTAATCCACCACAAAATGTCCTTGCAAAAACTGCATTTTACATAGCCCCAGTAGCTGGAGTCTTGCCCAGTCCAGACAAAAACAAAATGAAACAAAACAAAGCAAAACAAACCCAGTTCGTTACATAGGACAAGACAAAAACAATTCTGAAAAGCTGAAAAATCTATTGAATAAATCTATTATCTAAATTTTAGGAAAAGTGATTACAATGTCAGTCACCAAAGTGAAATTACTAACTAGAAAATAAATCACTGTAAAATATAAAATAAATCACTAACTAATAAAGTTCCCAATAAAAAAAAATCAATTTACACATTAACTTATTTGAGAATAAAAGCAACCCAGAGACGGTGGTTTTAAAATCTTAAAGATGAATAAATTGAGATTGCAAATCTTAAAATCTCATCGAGAATAATGGATTTGCCCCTGAATCACACAGCTGGTAAGTAATAGATTTAGCACGCACACTAAATTTTTTTTTTTTTGCGGCACTCAGGCCTCTCACTGTTGTGGCCTCTCCCGTTGCGGAGCACAGGCTCCGGACACACAGGCTCATGGGCCTAGCTCATGGCTCATGGGCCTAGCTGCTCCACGGCATGTGGGATCTTCCCAGACCGGGGCACGAACCCGTGTCCCCTGCATCGGCAGGCGGACTCTCAACCACTGTGCCACCAAGGAAGTCCATCACACTAAAATTTTTGAACTGCGTGTTATTTTCGGTACACAAGATTGTCTCTGTACAACCAAAGATGCAAATCATAATGCTGGGTTTCTCTAAAACATTGCAAATAAAACTTTCCCTCCTCCAGGTGCCTCCATTTTCATAGAGTAGACATCCCAAAACAATCATATTGATCCTCCGGTTGGCATTTCCCGGTTTCTCTTTGTCACTCTTTTGTAGATGACTTTAGAGTGATTGGTTCTGCCCATCCTACCCTGGTCATGGTCGGGGAAGATGCCCTACTAACCTGTCAGCTCCTCCCTAAGAGGACCACGATGCACATGGAGGTGAGGTGGTACCACTCAGAGCTCAGCACACCTGTGTTTTTGTATCGGGATGGAGCTGAGGTGACTGAGATGCAGATGGAGGAGTACAGAGGCCGGGTAGAGTGGATAGAGGACAACGTTACTGAGGGAAGTGTGGCTCTGAAGATACACAACATCCGGCCATCTGATCATGGGCAGTACTGGTGCCGTTTCCAAGAGGGAAACTATTGTGGAGAAACAAGCTTGCTGCTCAACGTAGCAGGTGAGTATCTCAGAAAAGACATAGGGGCTCAGAAGAAGTGTATTAATTTGTGTTAAGCTTGGTTCCAATTGAAGAATTCCCTTTGAATCATCAAGGCAATTGCTCCTGTCCAGTCCTCTATCCTGATTCATTTGGAGGCAGGTGGTTCTGAAATCTTTAAAGTGAACTCACAAACAATCCCCCCAAATTTAACTTACACAGTTTTGACTATTCTTGAGGATTATTTAACATTGATGACATGTAGTCACTAGCAGTTTTGCTGAGGCAAGAATTTGTGCCATATAGGCTAGTGCACAAGGGCAAGTCAATTGCTGGGTGAGCGACCCTAGCGGACTGCCCTGCATCCATGTTCTCTACTCAGCCTCAAGTACACAGTCACTGAGATGTGAACACATTGTTTCTTTGTGTAACGCCACCTCAAGTTAGAAAGTTAGTGATGAGACTAAGACGTTAAGAACATGGTGCTTTTATGGAGATTACTGTATACTAGTGTTCAGTGAATTGGGGGTTCACAGATGCTTTGGGGACATACCCATTGTGAGTGACAAGGGTCTGCATGATGTTTTTGTGTTAGCAAAGTAGGACAGGGTCAGAAGAAGGGAACGACTGAAGAAAGGATGTCTCTGTGGAGAAACAAATATCTGAAAAGTAAACTATCGTATGGTTCCCTGGCAGGAATAACTCCTCCATGTGCTAAAGAGAAAATCAGGCAAATCCACTTGCCTTATCAGGGAAATGGTTCTCTGGAGATGTTAACATCTCTGGCTGATGTGACCTCTTTCTGTTCCCTAACACATTTTGTCTCAACACCTATGTATGATTATTAATGTTATTATGTTCAAGTTGATTCAAGATGGATGAAAGAATCCACATACTTCTGAGATGTGGAGTGGGGAGGGCACGTACTAAGGCATTTCACTATCAGGGACATTTGAAAAGAAACCATGCATTTTCTAAGCCTCTAGGTGAAGAAAATGTGTCTCTGTCCCCAGCAAGTGATAGAGACAGAACTACCATCTATGGAAAATAGAATCCTCTTCGTTTGGGTTTGAGAGTTGTGTTGAATAGAGAAAGAATTTCAGGATTATATAAAACTGGGATGTCTTGACAACATTTTCCCATGGAATGGAATATTTAGATACAGAAACTCAACATGAAGCTTCCCATTTTACATGACCCAGATTATCTGTTTGCACCCCAAGTTCACAACCACCAACAAAAGAAATGAGAAGAATATTCTCCCTGGAAATGATGTCTCACTTTATATTAAGTATTCTATTTAATTGGAGTCAAGATATTATCCAACAAGTCAAAGTGCCTGACACAATAATATTAAGATGAAACAGGCAGAGTCTGTGGCGTGAGGGAGTTCGTGAGTAAATTTTAACACATCTTAGTTTGCCGTGCTAGAGACACAAGCAAAATGTTATTATGTCCCTTTCTCTTATTTTCATGTCTGGGTCTGAATAAAAATACTGCTCATGTGCTAAAATTTAAGGATCCAGAGTGGGGTATAAATAAAGTGTATGTGAACTCCAGTTTGAATGTGAAGAGGACTTTGGGCCATCTTTTGCTCCCCAGAACCTTGAACTTCTGCTCTCTCCCTATGCAATGTCATTGGACTCCCAGCCTCTGTGATTTGTGCCTCCATGGGCTTCGGGACTCAGGGCTGTGTCTTTCCACCACAGGTCTGGGGTCTGACCCTTACATCCACATGGATGGATCTGTGGAAAGTGGACTCCAGCTTGTGTGCACTGCAAAAGGCTGGTTCCCAGAACCTCAGATTTCTTGGCAAGACATCAGGGGAGAAAAGTTGCTGACTATGTCTAAGCATAGCATCCAAGATGAAGATGGCTTGTTCTATGTAGAAAGCACTCTTGTGGTCAGGAATGTCTCTACAGAGATTGTGTCCTGCTTTATCCACAGCCCCACACTCACTGAGGAGAGGGGCTCAGACATCTCCATCCCAGGTCAGTGCTCTGCCTCTAGGACCAAGATGCTCTGATTAGCAGGAAAGGTTGCAGGGACTGTTCCATAGCACTTAATATTTTTTAATCAAGAAGAATATCTAATATTTTGTAATATGCATTAAAAACTATAAAACATTTATGGCTGGAAATATATATACTATATAGCTATTGTTAATGGCATTCCAGTTTCTTTCAGATTCTGCCTTTTCTTCTTTCTTTATTAATTTTCTTTACTCACAAGTACGTTTTACATTGTAAAGGAAATACAACTATATTCTTTCAACTGAAGTGTTTTCTTGTGCTGTATTTGTGCCAGTTACTTCTAGGAGCTTATCATCTGAACACAATCAGAGATGGAGACAGCTGCTTACATAGCAGCATCTTTATTATAGCCTCATTTATAAATAGCAACAAAAACAACAGCCAAAAACCCAATACAGCAGTGGAGTGTTAAGTGTCTTATGTTACTTATAGCATTGATGAAAAATGGTATTTTCAAATAATTTTAATGGTTGAAAATATCCCCCTGATGGACTACTTAAATGATAAAAATTACATCTATCTATCTATCTATCTATCTATCTATCATCTATCTATCTATAAATAGATATTTCCAATCATGGAAAGATTATTGGCTTTAAATAACTTAAAATTTCACTAAGACTTTTGGGACACCCTCTACATTTAGATATAAAGAAATAAGTACATAGTTATTCATATAAATGGATACAGGAAAAAAGTTAAAATAAATATTATATGTTAATGTTAAAAGGAACAATACATATATATACATAATTGCAAAACATATACATATATATTTATATATCTCTCAGTTTGTAATTATGGGTGATAATTGTCTATGTCCATATATTTTTATACTTTTCATGCATTTATAAAAAGAATATTATTATTTTTATGAAATAGTTAAATATCGATATGTTAAATATAAGCAGAAACAAGCAGAATCATGGGGTGGTAGAAATGAGAGCATTTTTGTTGTGCAGAGAAAGGGAAAAACAGCTGGACCACCAGGAGGTGGATGGGGAAAAATCATTATTTTTTTACATTTTATTTTTCTTATGAATCAAGTGTTTCCATAAGATGTAGAACTTTGGGGGTTTTTTGGGGGAAATATTTTCTCTCCTTTCCCTTAGATCAAATTCCTTGATATGTTATTTTCATTCTTTTTCCAGAAAAACTCCAGACAGAGCTGGGTAAGTAGAGGTGGTGGCTCTCACAAGTATACACGAGCCTCTGCCCTCTCCAGGGGAGGGTGGTGCTCCTTGGACAAAGCGTGCACAGAGAAGGTGACACCTCGTGATCCAGATGAGAAACTGAGGCATGACCTTCCCAAGTCTCACATTTAGTAGTAGAGGGACCAGCAAAGTGCAGCTTCCTGAAGGCACCTTTGCACCTCGTAACCTGCCACTTTCAGTGTTCATGGGACCCCAATGAGCCTCAGATGGATGCCTAAAATGGGTGCAGACCTAAGCTCTGTCCTTCTGGGTGGGAGGAAAGGGAGTGTGTAGGGCAAGGCAAAGGACAGCTGGCCCAGCTCTGGAGGCCTTAGTGTGAGTTTCTAGTGCGAGGAAGCAGTGCCATCACGATAACTGGCGGTCCTCACCCACCACCTGCAACCTCTGGCCCTGCTACGGTTTCTGTACCTGCTCTTCACCCCAGTAAGCCTGACCTCATCACTGTCGGGAGGGAGCTGTGACTTTCTTAGATGCAGCCTGGGACCCTGTGCTTGGGGTTATCATTTTCCTTTTTATTTCTTTCCTTAATAGTTGGACTGCAGGTATGATTTTACTGTACCTAAGATAAGTGGTTTAAACAGTAACCAACTGATTTTTGAACCTCTTTCAGTTTCTCCTTTGTTGCCTTATCATCTTCCTCCTGTTCCTCATTTCTGTGACCTCTCCTCCCAGCCCATGACAACCAACCTGCCCCCTACCTGCTCGTTTTCTCCTTCCATCAGTACTCTGCTTTCCCTCAAGTCACCTGTTACAGGAATATATGCTTATGTGGGTGCGTGCCTGTGCACATGTTAGGTGAGTTTAAGCACACTTTTCGGCCCAGGTAGGAGTTTTTGAGGAAAATTAGGGTGGCGAACACACCCCAATCCCTGTCAGAGTCTAGTGTGACACTTTGGACCCCTTTGGACCATAAAGATAAAGGAAAGGGCCTTGGGATGGTCAAAGGTAACTCCACAGTTTGAAGAGAGTGCACATCTGCGAGTCTTACCTTCCAAGTCGGATACCCTCCCACCCAGGTGACATCTGCTTGTGATAGGACAGAAACCTTGGCTGGCAGAGCTTGTTAGTTACAGATCAGAAAGCCAAGCCAGTGTTTGGGCAGGTTGACCCATGTCTCTGTCCCTTAAGAAAAATTTAAGTGAAGACTCATTTCTCTAAGTTATCTGAACCAAATTGACATGCCCATTGGACACCTAGCACACAAAATACAATCTGATGTCCTGTTGTTTCCAAGTTGTGCACACCTTCTGGGCCCACATTGAAACAATATGAAAAGACAAAGCTTCCGTGGGTTCCCTGTCAGGAGGAGGGCTGTGCCCTCAGGAGCTTTGAGGGTGAGCTCCTAATAGAGAGTAGAGTAGGAGATTCACAGCTACCTCCATGTTTTTAGAGCTTGTGAATTAGAGCTCAGAGGCTGCTGGTGAACCGAGATTTCCTTAGAAGTCCTGAGACTGAAATCCTAGTTCCCTTCTCTGGCAAATAATGTTGTTGGTAATACAGATAATGACTAAGTTTTTGAAATGGTAATAACATGCCTGGGACGATGCTAAGTGCTTTTCAGGAATTATTTTCTTTTCTTACAATAATTTAAAGGTGAATAGATTTATCATCATTTTACAGTTGGGAAACAGTCAATTTTAGCTCTTAATTACCAATCTCTGGAAGAGTAATTCAGTTTGAGAGTTGATTTGCACCACAGGTCATGGACAGGAGTAAAAAAAAAACCTCATATGGATAACAGAGATGAGGAAACAGTCTGCTTTATTACTATAAGATACATGGATGGAGAAATAGCAGCAAACTAACTACTAGGTTTTTTTTTTCTTCTGATTCCTACTTTTGTCTTTATATTTAAACAGATACATATGAAGTAGAGATAATATGTTTTAGGTAAAATTGAAGAACAAAGCAAACAACATGCTGGATATAACTGGGAGTCAAATTTTAGCAAGAATAGAATGAAATAATCTGAAAATTAAAATTATGTTGGCAACGAGTTTCCTCTCTAGAGAAGTACCTAGAATATTTTGGCTAAATACATAATGAAGACATTTTGCCTTTGATCATTGACTCCCCGTCCAGACAGTTTACAAATTTATGCTTGTATTTCTTTATAAATGATCATTACACTTCAGCATTAGAATGGTAAAAACGTTCTACCATTTGATGGAAAAGGATGACTCTAAATATAGTATAGAGCATAATCAACATGGCCAGGACCTGATGAGAACTGCAAGTTGGGTCCAGGAAAAGCCAGGAAAGCCCTCAGAGAAAATCTCCATTCTTCATAATGGGGGAATTAGACTCATTTTTATGTATTCATTCTTGCTTTGTGCTTCGTATTTTGCCAATCTCCCCAATTCTTGATCTTATAACATTTCTCAAGATCACCTGAGAACATTGACTGCTGTGTGTTTAGTGCCCCACATATGTGGGAGCTTGGGAAACTGAAATACGGTGGCGGATCTGACTTATAAGGTATTATAAAACAAACTAGGGAAGGTTTCTTCACATTTCATTACTAAAAAGCCACCTGACTCAGTTTTGTTCCCTTCCCATTATCAAGGTCTAGAGTGGGATTGGCTCCAATGACCTCAAGTCTTATAATCTTAGGTCTCCACTCATACTGCATGGTCATCAAACTCTTTATATGGTTATTTTGTTTAACTCCAGTAAAAACTTATGATTTTGATAGTGATATATTTGTCTTATGGTATAAGAAGCTGAGACATACACAGATTAAGAAGTAGTTTAAGGTTGTGCAAATTTAAAATGATAAAATTTTAATTTGATTTTAATTGCAAAATTATTTTCTTATTGGGCTGTAAACTGAATAAGATTATAGGTAGGGGCTGCAAGTGTGGGTTCTGTTAGTGATAATTTTCAGACAGACACACATAATGGGATGGTTCTGCCTTGAATAGGGACAACCTCTATCCTGATTCCACCAAACCTCTACCTCTCCAAGGGATGACCTTGAACCTCAGGGCTCCCCTGGCATGTCCCTGGGTTCTAAACCCTACTCAAGATGTTCTTACTGATGACACTATTTGCTCCAGTTTGGATCTTCCATTGCTTTTTGTCTGCTGTATTTAACAGCTTCCTTAAAAGTGATTGGACCTTCCCAGCCCATCCTTGTCAGAGTGGGAGAAGACATACAATTAACCTGTTCCCTGTCCCCAAAGACTGATGCACAGAGCATGGAGGTGAGGTGGGTGCGATCACACCGTTATCCTGCTGTTTATGTCTATATGGATGGGGACCATGTGGCTGGAGAGCAAATGGCCGAGTATCGAGGGAGGACTGCATTGGTGAGTGATGCTATCAGTGAGGGGAGGCTGACCCTGCAGATAAACAATGCCAGGACTTCAGATGATGGGAAGTACCAGTGCCTCTTTGAAAAAGATGGTGTCTACCAGGAGGCTGATTTGGATCTGAAGATCATAGGTAAGGATTCTAGATAGATGTTTTGAAATCAACATTTGTTCCCACTGCTTTAACTTGCTAGTTCATGGAAAATTTCTCTGGCACCTGAAATTTTCTTAATGTCCATTCACTCATCAAATTTTTAGTAAACTCTCCCATATGCAGGAGCTGTAATAAATACATAAAGTCCACAAACCCTAAAGGACCAGATTTGATCCTTTGTGTGTAAATTTGTATCCTTCCCAGGATCTCCATAAAGTGGCCATACACCTAGTAAAATGTGAGATTCTTACTCCATAAGTACACAGGACTCATTATTTCAGTGTGTTTTTAAAATTCTGGGAAATATGTAGTTATTAGGAAGCATGATGATTTGAAGGCTAAACTAGATCCACCATATAATCAAAAATCATAAACATTGACAGTATTGGCAGGACGGAGGAGGAAAGACAAAATCAATCCCTGCATCATGATTTCCCACTGCCTATGTTTGTGGGTGAGAATTGATTTTCCAAGGTTAGCAAATGTCATTGAGGACATTGCCTAAATTGAGGAAAATCTACTTGTTTCTCCCATTGATGGTGTATTCAAATTAATAAATATGTTTAGAAAACATCCATGAGAGCACATGTTAAAACTTTTAATGAACTTCATCATTTTCTGCCATTGGACGCATGTATTTATAAGATTTTGTTCTTTGAGGATATTCTGTCTTTTTTATCTTTCTGGCTATGTGACTCATGACCTACCTGGTCAAAGTTACTTTGTTTCAGGTATAGAAGAAAAAAAATTGGATTTGAAATGTATTGTATCCTTTAATCTGTCCCAGAATGATTTTAGGAATACAAAGCATAAAAATAAAAATTTGCAAACAAAAGGAGACAAGTAAAGGCTCCAGCTAGTCTCGTTCCTGAGTGGAGTATAATTCCCCCCTAAGCTTTGCTTTCTTCTCCAAGTCTCTGAACCCTTCTCTTCCCCCTCTGTGCAATCACTGACTGTGTAACCACTTGCAGAGACTCTAAATTGCCTTCCTTCATCTCTATTCCCAGGTTTGGGTTCTTCCCCTCAGATCTCCATGGAGACACTGAAGGATGGAGAAACAAAGCTGAAGTGCACTTCAGAAGGGTGGTTCCCACAGCCCCATGTGCAATGGAGGGACATGGAAGGAAAGACAATACCATCAGTTTCCCAGGACCTGACTCAAGGCAGCCAGGGCCTGTTCCATGTGGAGGCATTTCTACTGGTCAAAAACAGCTCTGTTGTGAATGTGACCTGCTCCATCAGCAACCCCCTTCTTGGTGAGGAGAAAATGACAACTTTTTCTCCTTCAGGTTAGTGATTCCATGTGCTCCTCTCAGCTTTGGGAAATTAATATGAAGACCAACACAAACTTACTCATTTTATTGCTTTTCTATTTTCTGTTTTTTATGTTTTCTTTCTGATGAAGTCTCTTGCTATCTCTTGCAAAGCTGGTCTTCAGGACACCTAGAGATTCTACTCTTTAGAGTTTCTTCCTGAAATTCCCAACTAAAGCCCTAAGGTTATATGGTTACATTATTATCTACTGAATTCCAAGAATTGACTCTATCATCACTATATCTATAATCTCTTTTCTTCTAATGTGAAAACAATGACATCATTTTTTCCCCCTCATGATGGGTTTTCTTCTGGATTAGAAATTAATTTTCCTTAACACCGTCTTCATGGCTGTGGACTCAGTAAATTTATCCTTTTGCTGCCCTCATTATTCCAGTGATTGTGGTGGTATAATTGGAAAAGAGAAGGGTGAGAACTCTGTGTGTGTGTGTGTGTGTGTGTGTGTGTGTGTGTGTGTGTATTTCTGAGAGGAGCAAACAAGAAAGCTAGCATAAACCCCTAGCCTCTCCTCAGCCTCTGCAGAGCGGGGAGAAGCAGACCCACTTTCTTCTTGACAGGACTAATTCTCACCTTCCTCTCCAGTCTAGGAGCTCTCAGATGAAAAGAACGATCTTGAAAATTTCCCAGTTTCATGATTTAATGTGATTCTGGGGTTTCCATTTTAGAGCCTGGGATGACTTTTTCATGGAAGATACTGCTTATTTTGGGATTGCTTCCTCTTGTTGGGGCTGTAGGCTTGATCTGGAGGAAGAGCTGTAGAAAAGGTAAGTTAGGAAAACAGAAACAGCGTGGAGCACACTTTGTGATGGGAGCCTTACTGTACACTTTCCCTAACCTCTCTTTACAGCAGGCACTGAAGCACAGAGACATTCAGGGGATAGTCAATAATTCATGAAACATGAGGTTGATGGCTTACATTCATGTAGTTGAGGATCGGTGCTGAAAGAGCTCAGTTTACAGTGATAATAGAAGCAAAAGAATTAAAAGACAATAATTTAATCTCCCAGTGCACATTCCCAAGTGATTTAGTTAAGGGAAAGGAAGAAAAAAAGTGGCAAAGCCATCCTCACTTTGAAGTTGAGAGCTGAGACTTAACTGGGATTCTGTTGGCATGAACATTTCACTAAGATCATTACAAATATGGTGACTTGCTTATTGGCTATTCCTGCTCTGCCAGTGAAGGACTTCTCATGTATTGATAGGCTGTTTTGTGTGCCCTAGAAAGTTCTTCCACTTTAAATTTCTTAAGTCATTGTAACTTTTGTTTTCCTGTTTGGATGTTAATATCATGAAATTGATATTTTTAAATATTCCTGTATTGATTATTATCAGAATGGATTTTCTTTCTCTGCAGTGAATGAGACATTGGATCCAAATACAGCTCACTCAGAACTGATCCTTTCTGAGGGAAATGAGCGTGTAGCCCACAGACGGTCACGCAGCCAGACTTCCTACAGTGATCTGACGGCCTCCTCACTGCGATGGGCCAGGAGGGGCTCATCTCAGGAAGGTGGTTACAAGAAGTGGAGGTTAGGGACAGGACAGTATGGGTCCTGAGTGTTGCCAAGGATGGTGTCGTGAAGGAGTCATCTTTGTGTCAACTGAGAATGGGTTCGGGCAGTGAGTTGCTATGGAAATGAGTACTGGGCCATTTCCTCTTCTCTAAGCCTCCGCTCTCTGAAGATGTCTCTGGGACAGGTTAGAATCTCTCTGGACTATACTTCTGGATGTCTCTCCTTCTATAACATGAACAAGTGCCTTATCTATACCCCCCTAATTTTCTTCTCTGAAATTCTGCACCCCCTTCATTCTTTGGTCCCCTACTGTAGGTTCTCCTGACATTTTCCCTGCACTTAAGAGAGCCCCAGCAACACCTCCAAGGAAAACAATAACCCTGGATTCTGGAAACCAGGATTATATTCTAAGTCCCAGCTCTTTTCCCCTTTCACCAACCGCTTGAAGGGGTCTCACACGATCACCCATTTACCTAACCAAGAGGCTTTAACTTTACTCTGGCATCAATTCTGACCTGGAGACTGATCCCTTCTGTGACCTATCATATCCCAAGCTCTCTGATATCCTGCCTACGGATCACAATCTGATATCTGGTGATAAAAGACCCTTAGAAAATCCAATGGGAAATACAATTTAGCCTAGAGGAGGAAGTGCAAGGAATGATCAAATATTTGATTGGTTTCTCTAGGAAAGTGACAATTAATTATCCAAGTGGGGGTGAGAAAACAAAAAATATGGTTAAAATGAGGTAAAGAAAATACAGCTGAATATAAGGAGAAAAATCTGATCACTAAGACATAATCTTGAAAATCACATAAAGTGTGTAATTCCTGCACCAGACTTCTTCAGAAAGTTAATTAAGAATGTGGAGTAAGGAAATTTTTCAGAAATTTTAGTCCAAGAGAAAAATATGTTACGTTTATGAAAATATCAATTTCTGTTTTAGAGTGAAAAAAGCACACAGTTTAAAATTAACAATTATAGAATAAACATAAGCAATTAATGCAACACAAGTAATAAAATGCAATGGAAATAAAAATATTTTAAAAGTCACAATGAATTAAAAGAGAGAAGCCACACATAGGACAAGAAAGAATGTGAAGAAATAAAGATTTGGAAGAAGTCTTAAAAGCTTCTGAAGTGAGAATGAGGAATACCCGCAAATGACAGGCTGCTGCTTTCTAGGAAGGCAGACATCACGGTTTTAGCTGTCCTTTGAGGATTATTCATCTGTGGCATTCTGGAGTTTTCTCTTTTGGGTCATGATATGTTTTCTCTATTTTTAAACTCATGAACTTATGTTTGAAACTATGTAGTGTAATACTGTAGTATTATTATTTCACAAGTATTTGAACATTTATTTGATTTAGTTTTAAAATTTTTCCAGTAGTGGTAAAATACACATAAAATTCATCATTTTAGTCATTTTAAAGTGTCCAATTCTTATTGTTGTTTTAACTTAAAGGGAACCAAAAATCATGAACAGTTTCAGGCCTTTTTAGACTCTGATTTTACAGTTTCTTGAAGACAGAAATCTCAACGGCAGAATGCAAAATGGGAAAGATGTTATTACTAAGATGAGAAAGATATATAATTACTGAAATGATGTCTCAAATCTGAGTTCAATCAAAATTAGGAAGGAATGTAATCAAAGTGTATTTAATTTTCATATCCATTAGAATTTTATTTAAAGAAAAAAATAAACTGTCCAATTCTGTGGTATTTTTACCTTCACAATATGTGCAACCTTCATCAGTATCCAGCTCCAGAATATTTTGATTACTCTAAAAGGAAAGTCCATAACCATTAAGCAGTTACACCCATTTTTCCCTCCCTCCAGCCCCTAATATACTTTGTTTCTGTGAATTTGCCTATAGTGGGTATTTCATATAAATGGAATCATAAAATACTATATATGGATTTCTTTGTGTCTGTATTTTTTTAATTTAGTGTAATGTTTTCAAAGTTCATCCATGTTGTGGCATGTAACAGTACTTCATCCTTTTTTTTTTTTTAAATTAAAAGACTTTATTTTTTAAGAGTTGTTTCAGGTTTACAACAAAATTGAGTGGAAAATCTAGAGCACTCCCATATCCCTCCCCTCTCACCCCTTAGTTTCTTCTATTATTAACAACTTGCATTGGTGTGGTACATTTGTTACAACTGATGAACTGATACTGGTACGTTATTTTCAACTAAAGTCCATAGTTTACATCAGGGTTCACATTTTGTGTGATATATATACATACACACACACACACACACATATATATGACAAAAGTAAAATATCCCAAACTGAACGCATTGTCCTTCCTGTTCCATATCATACTTCCAATACCATTTGTACCCATTCTGTTGTTACCCTCACATATCCTCATCCACATGTCCATTTGATTATACCTATTAATATTTTCCCCACCGTTCATTTACCTCTCTCCTGCTTTTATTATTTCTTGCTTGTTATTTAAGCCCTTCCTTTATTGTCAGTAAAGTTAATATTCTGGGGTCTGGATTTATTCTTCTTGGGTTCAAATACTGACTGCCACTTAGTGGCTGTGTGTTAGGGAACTTTTGCTATGGCAGTATACCTTCCAAGAGAGGTTGTTAAAGGGACTTGTCACTTAAAGATCTGCTAGAAGTGCAGAAAAACCTAAGTGGATCTAAGTTGATCTCATCTACTGTCAGAAAGAGAGGGTTCATTTAACAGGAGAAGCTCATATTTTATATTCTTGAAAACGTAAGCTTTGTGATAAACACCTGGAGAAGGCTTAGCTGCATTAAAGGCAAAGGAAAAACCCTCAACAGTGGAAAGAACTTGGTCAGAAAGAAAAAAATAGGCAATGTTAATGATGACTCTTTCTTCATGAAGTCTGAGGATGTTTCTCCATTCCTATTTGATGATTTCTTTTTTCTCTGAAAACATAAATTGTAACATCCATTCCTTTTTTATTCACATACAGTTCTGGACTTGCTGACCAGTAAGAACTTGTTTTTTTTTTTTAAAAAAAAGGCTCTTCCTACCCAGGAGGCTTGTTCTCCTCAAATGGTTTTACAGTTATTTATCAGTCTTCAACACACCTTGGCAAAGTCCAAGTTTAGAAGTTGATGGACACCAAAGTCTGAAGAAAGAACAAGCTGAGCCATTAACTTTTAAAAGACTTGAACAGATTTCTGCGTGTATCTCCAACAGTACTGCTCAACTGAGACCCTCCCCTTTAAACATCACTCCCTCTTCCATATTTGATAACAAAAATAGTAAGAAGAGAGATTTTCTCTTTAAATGTAGCTTTAAACATATTTACTTCAAAACACAGTAAGTACCAGAGCTGAAGAAAGGCCCATGAATTAACTTGGAGCTTTCTCGTGACAAATCGTTGCTGCCCAGAAAGAGTATTTCCCCAAAGGGAGCACTGGAGGAAATTCCCCCAGACATTTTCTAGCCGT